GATTGTCAGAAGAGCTGCTGCATACTTTTGAATTCAGATTGTGAAAATTTGACAATTCAAGTTCCAGTAGATTGAGTTGGATTTGATGATTACACATAACCAACATGGTCGCTTCATCTTCTACAAGCAATTATACGGTAACTAACTGAGGTCACTAGCAATTGTACTCAACAATCCCACGCTAACGCACTCACAACTACGCCCGCCCACCAACCCACGTCGGCATTTACTAGCAGTGTTTGGAGTGGCTTAGACCTGTACTGAACGCACTCACAATCAAATACTTGTAGCAAGTGGATTTAAATGTAAGCCCATCCACCCACCCACAGCGTCACTTGCAGGCACAGTCTGTAATAGCTAATGGGGTATTCACACGACAGGCAAATCCACGTGCACCGGAAAGTTGCAGGGAGTGACATACGAGAAAAGTGACCGTGTGGATTCACACAGCTGCACTTGACGACAGGCACGTTTGCATTTTGAATGCTTCACCGACCAGTAGCCATGAGCATTTCAAATTTTCAAAACACGCATACAATAATTATCATGTTCTAAAGATCCGCGTAAAAACTCAAGTCTTGTTTCGCGCTTTTTGGTGGAAATGTACTCGTGCACGCCACGATTATCGTGAAAGTGGGCCCCCAGCTCGCTTGCACTTTTCAGCCACTTTTCTCGTTCACAGGTAAAATACCATAGCAACTTTCCGGTGCACGTGGATTTGCCTGTCGTTTGAATACCCCATAAGGCCTACACTGACCTGGATTCAACTTGTAAAGTTTGACTAATCGCTCAACAAGCTTCTCGATGGCCTTTTCCTGCAGCTGAGCCTTCTTCAGACCCATCTCACTGCACCCAAACACAGCACGGAGACAACAGTGAGATTACTTCAAGCAACAGACGAAGTAGAAAAATCTCCCTTGATACCCTTGCTTTTCAGACACAGACACAAGCATAATACAACACAAGCACACCCCGAATGTCGTGTGTGTGTGGGGGGGGGGGGGGATCCGTGCATACAACTAAAAAACAGTTTGTGACGAGTCAGGATACGGCTGAAAATAGAGCAATGGGAAATGGTTTAAGTGGCAGAATATATTTCTCACGCCAATCAAATTCAGATTACCGAATATAATTATTGTTCTGGCATACTAACTTGCACTTTACTGTGAGGTCTTTGTGAGGATTCAGTAGCCGATCAAGATCGATAACTGCTTTCTTTTGCCGAGACCGATTATCACCAATAAACCTGACAACAAAGCAAACACGACCAGTTGAATGCATGTACACACAAATACACACACACACACACACACACACACACACCGAGATTAGACACAGACACATGCATATGTGCTGAGAGCCTGATATGAGGAAATGAGCCACAATACGGTGCGGGGGGGGGGGGGGGGACTGATGAAACACCTCGCATCACACAAGAAACACATCACAGGGACCCGAGTGGGTGAGGCATGCCAGCAGGGGAAACGAGAGAGAGAGAGAGAGAGAGAGAGAGAGAGAGAGAGAGAGAGTGAGAGAGAGTGAGTGAGTGCGAGAGAGACTTACTTTTCAGCAACATTGCCCTGTCCACCAACAAAGAGTGGGGTAACGATCTCTTCCAGACATAAGCGATCCTGAATGTCCAACTCTTCTGCTAGCGTTGCTGCATCCCGGAACTTTTTGTCACCGACTAGAGTTTCGATGAATGACGGAGCCACGTCGGCAGTTTTCAGTTTGAACACGTGAACAAGCAACTTGAGAACCTGTATATAATGTAGGAAAGTCGAGAGGTGAGGTCAGTGCACAAACACAGTACATGTATATACAGATATACCGTGGAACTCTCTTAGTACATACTCTGATAATACATACTCTTGCTTAGTACGGACATTGTCCGGAGCACGGGTGTATTGATCCATACTGAAGTACGCGGGGATAAGAAGTAGATCGGATACTAAGTACACTTTTCTGCTGCCTGGGGGGGGGGGGGGGGTATTATCAGAGTTCTACTGTATGTACAGACAAGAAAAAAGGCGCTGCGACCTTGCCAACCATGCAAGTACAGTGATGCACTCGTTGGTGAGTGTCACCACTCGTTTCATATGCATGGCCAACGTGCTTACATAGCATGCTCATTTTCAACACTCAACGTCGGCAGGTGACCTACCTACTGGCAACCCAACCTGAACAAGGGAGATCTCGGTGTGACTTCACCAAATGATAGGCAACGAAAAGACCACCAAAAGGAAACAGCTGAACTGCTCAAATGGTGCACAAAGATTGCGTTGATGCCACTGCCACGTACCAATGGACTTGTGACTTTCGCCGCCAATTCCAGCGCCTCCCAGGTGAGAGCGGCTGTGATGGGCTCGGGCTGACGGCGTATGCCGGTAGTGGTGCTGTTCAACCATATCCCCGTGTAGACCTCCAGAGCATGGCGTGCCAGACAGTGCGGACCGTTGGCACGCGAGCGGTGGCTACTGCGCACTATGATGAGTACGGTACTGAGCGGGTACGGGGAGTTACGCACTGCACTATCCAAAAAGCGAAGCAGATCATCGCCAACCTGCAAACCACACACACAATCATGCATTCCCCCGCACACAATTGCACACGATTACGTATTAGAAAACGTTCTTAGAGACAACCAACCGTTCCTTAATGATGTTCCACTTCACACACACACACACACACGCACATGGCACGTACACACGTACACACACACACACACGTACACACACACACACACACACAAACACCATACTCATGCAGATATATGTACATGCACACAGAGAGCAGAACAGTACACCTTACCATTCGATTGACTCTCTCCCACTTGGCTTTGACTTCCTCTGCCCACTCTTCATGAGAATACTGGCAGTAGGCACCATACTCGCCACGTCCAAGATGAGTGCTACCATCCAGGTATTCATCTGTCAGCCATGAGCCTGTTCACAAACAAACAGCACTCACAGGTGGGCAAAGGAGCCTTGAGATGAACAGCACAGACACAAAATCAGGGGCGTCGGAGCATATTCTACATTGGTTCAACCATGAAGAGGTGATGGTCTGGGGCCTCCCTCCCCGGAAAATATTCGGAAAATTTGGCCCAAATAGCACATAATTTATTGCTTCAAAAATCCCAAGATAAAGTATTGTTGCGGCTTTGGCCGCACCTGCCGCACCGGTTCCGACGCCCCTGATTATACTAGCAGGCTCAGCCTCAGGTCTCTGTGCTGCGCTCATCAGTCGACAAAGGACTTCGTAGTACGGTCCGCAGATTGAGAAACACACTGTGCAGGTTTACATAAATCCGTATGTGAAAGACGACAGCAGGCAGTCCATCCTTAGCAACCACCAAACACGTTCTACATACAGCCGTACTCTCCAGTTGGACAAAGTCACGCGTGCTCAAAACATGTTCAAAACATGCACAGAGAATGCTGTAAACTCATAGACTTTCAATCGCAACAACTCTTGCCCATACCATCATTCTGATCTTCATCAAAGTCACCGCCTTCGTCATCGCTATCCCAACCATCCTCCTCTTCTTGATCGCCACTCACAGCCAGTACAGGCGCCAGCAGTTCCGGCTCCTCTACCACAAATGTAACCTGAAGGAAAAAATTTTCCGCAGAGAAAAATGAAGCGTCAGAGGGGCTTGACAGACACACAGCGTACGAGTAGTCAATGGTGTGACAGTGTGTGTGTGTTCGTGTGTCTGTGTGTGTTCGTGTGTGTCTGTGTGTGTCTGTAAACAGCTAACAGTTACCATGAGGAGTAGAAATACCACAATTCGATGAGTAGAAATAATGCAATTCAATGAGAGTCTTACCTTCTTTCCATCAGCACTGCTCGTGCCATTACACACTCCACTCCTGTACAACAAAAGTATACACAGACAGAGAGACAGACAGACAGACACATGCACAGACAGACAGACACATGCACACACACACACACACACACACACACACACACACACACACACACACACACACATGTATACATGCATGCACGCACGCATGCACGCACACATGCACACACACACACACGCACGCACACACACACACATGCCCAGCAGGTAAGTGAATGAAGAATGCGGCAGCAAAACAAGCCACTACACATACGTGTATAGTGCATTTCAATAACACGCAGGTTTCGCAAGCTTCCGCAAAGATCTCAGTGCATATGCACATGGCTAGACAGCAGCAGCCAGTGTCCAGTGGGCGCTGCACCTATGAGAGTGTCAGAGCTCAAGCAGCCAGGCAGAGGTCTTGCCAGGATAATCGGCAACTGGTCTATGCGGCTTGACTTTCACAAGCAATCACTGCGAGAGGTTGCCCAGCAGCTGTACCTCCCCGGAGTCTCAAGGAGCACATAGCAACTTGCTTTTTTTAATCCAGCAACAGAAACGCCTCCAATTCGTACAGTACGACCACTTTCTGTTAACAGTAGAGGATGTGCTGTCTGCCTCGCCTTCCAAACTGTGCGGTAATATTGCCGAACGTCTTACGAATCACCCGGTAGCATCCAAAGTACACGGCGGCAGGCTGGAGGTGCGAACAGCCGCACATGGGAGACCGCAGGTTTATCAGCGTACTGTGGCGAGTAGCGTGCCTTTGGATCAGGCGGCTGATACTGTTTGTGGCAGAGCGACTGGAGCCAGAGCGCAGGAAGTTGCTGGGCTTAGAATGCTCAGTAAAGAGAAGCAGGATCAGCTGCTGCAAGATGCCGGCATACGCCACCGCACACCGGCTAAGGGTTCGTTGCTTGCATTGAAAGCGGATATGAACCTGCCGTGGAATAGAGTGCGGCACGTGAAGCGCTGGCTAACTGGATTCGGTATCCAGCTAGAGTCCGAGAAGACAGCACGTACATTCATAGCGCAACACGTACCACAGTGCACAGCAAGGGAAGTGCCAATGAACAAGAAAGACGGCAGCATTGTGATGGCATCCATGGTGTATATGCCAAACCTCATTGACATCGTGATGCACTACCTGGACTTGTATGGCCCATACGGGTGGCTGACCTGGCACGGAAACGTCATTCTGCAGTCCGAGATTTGGCTGAAACTCGGCGGTGACCACGGAGGACATTCGTTCAAGTTAGTATTTCAGATAGCAAACCTGAAGCATCCAAACTCACTCAACAACACCATTCCTGTGTGTGTGTGTTTGACTGCCAAGACAGCCCGGTCAACCTCAGATCGCACTGGCAGTGTATGCAGATCAGGTGCAGGAACTGCAAAGTACAATCAAGTGGAAAGGCAGGTCATTTGTACTGTTCTTCTTCAGTGATTATGATTACCAAACAAAGTGCTATGGTGGTTTACCCAACATTTCAGGACGTAGCCTCGCTGCTACTGGCCCTTGAAGATAGCCTTCGTAATGGCCGCCATTGGACAGGTTGAATTGATCAATTCGTTCGAGGCACTCAGCAAGTCTCCAGTCGAAAGTTGGTTGGCTAAACATTACTAGGTAACTTGGATCGGTGTCGGACATAGTTGGTTTGGCTGCGCTGTGTTATTGTGAGCAGGATCGACCACTCGTTTTTGTACCTTTTTCAGTGCGCATTTTAGTCGATTTTCATATTTTGCCCAATATCAAGAGTACAGTGCGTATCGGTTATAGCGTGGTCGTGTAAAAGAATATACTGCCTACAAGAATGAACTCTCATGTTTTCATAATGATAACATGCGCTTCAAGTGCACTTTTATTCTTACAAGCAGTTTTATCGCATAGTAGAATATATCGGTCCTAAGAATGGACTTTGTGTAGCAAAACATGCCAGATTAGTACAAAGTGTATCGCCTGTAGTAATAAAATTTGTCCAATGCAGTTCTGATCTGACTCGCGTTGCGTGGTAGTGCTGCAGGTTCAACTGTTGTGGTCAAGTAACTCATGTTGCATAGCCACATGGTAAGCCTATGGGACTATGACCAGCCGCATGCACAGTAGCACTACGTTGCACTCACGATGATCTTCCTGCCCCTGCCCCTGCGCACATGCATATGATATGTCACACTTGATGTATTGTGTGTAAGAAATATCGGAAATAAGAATAGAAAGTCATTTTTCAAACACCCACGCTATAACCGATACCTACTGTACATGAAAACCAGAGTATGCAGCTTGGGGCTTTTTCTACTTTGGGTGTCACGGCGGAATTCCGTGACTACATCATATTTGGTGCAGATCTGAGGTGGGAAGTGGCGTAGTGCGTATAACTGAGCTGCAGTTGTGCAGAAAGAGATCTACTTGGATACTGCTTGTACGCACTATGTACATCACTAAAATGATGTAATCACGGAATTTCGCCGTGACAGCAACCCATTCGAGCTGCACACTCTGGTTTTCATGTACTCTTGCCAATATCCAAGGAACGGAGGTTCTCTGGACCAAACAATCACAGTGGGCGAACAAGGTCCACCCAGGGATAACAGGAGCCAACTTCGAGCGAAATGGGAAATTTGACCATGTCCAGTGATATTTGGTCGATACAGACATTGACTCTTAACCCTTTGAGAGCCGACCCATACTTGAATGTGTAGAATTCTACACACTCGACTGTGAGACTTCAACTGGCCGTAACTCGGTCAAAACTAGCTCAAATTCAACGATCCAAATATCTACCTTGAAGAGAAAACTCTCAGCGTGCCGTAGAACCCATCCGCGACGCGCTGCGATCAACGGTTCTTGAGATAAATCGCTCGTAAGTTCAGCCGCGATCGCGGCACTTGAAAAGCGTGGGAGTGCAACTCGAAAGTTGAGAATTTTGAGACTTTTCCTCGCGCTGAGTTACTCAAATTTGCGTGGGTTTCACTGGTAGTATTTCCAAGGGTACACAGCGAAAAAATCGAAACTCTGCGATCAAGAAAAATGAAAATGCTGGAGCAGGACGAAAGTGCACGCATTTCAAGCAGTTTTCGCTAGGTCGCTGCTCTCTGGCGCTGGAGATATGGCGTCCTGGTCATCATGCGTGACCTCAGTCTCTTCCTCTCGCGGAGACCTTTCCAGGAAGCCCAAGATTGTGAAGTTTGAGTGAGTAGAACTGAAGTTACGTCCCAAAGAACATGAAAATATGCAGAATTTTGAAATTTTCAATCGGCTCTCAAAGGGTTAAGTGGTGGTCGTGAAACGGCCGTGGTGAGTAGTACACATGCTGCCCTGCGAGAGAGTTCTTTCGAAGTTTGAAGAGGTGGTCAGTTTGTACATTCAAATCCCGGTTTGGTAATACATGTATACTAGAAATCCATACACAACTCCTGTGCAGGCTCGTGCAGATACGTTTTCGTAATTCGCCATAGCACCACTGGGCACTGAATTCTAAACATCTGATCAGGAGGGTTCCTTCCTGCTCCACATCACACAGCGTACGTTCGCCACCAAACGTGCTCGCAACTGTTAAAGGGGAAGTTAAGGCAAAAATCAAAATTTCACCAGTTGTAGTCTTCGGGGTGCTGAGTCGAATGGTCTTGGTCCGAGAAAGCTGAGACGCTCCCTTCCTACTTGAATCCCAATCGAACTCGCGCACTTCCACCGAAACTGGGTGACTGCGCGCTACGAGATGGGGATTTGTATGCAAAATGTCACTAAAAGCGCCATTTCGTTCTTATAAAAGCACGGATGACCGCGATTGGCCCATATGTTGTAGTCTTTTGGACGCTGAGTCGACTGGTTTTGGTCCGAAAAGGCTGCGATGCAGCGTTCGCCCCTAATTCCCAATCGAACATGGTTGAACAAGTGGTCACGTGCTCCTGCGTACACCAGTCACCTGGTCACCGTGCCTGCAGGGTACAACTTACAGCCTGTTTTGACCTTTTTTGGGTGCAGTCCTGTCACTCGAGTTGAACCTTGGTGTGAAAGTTGTCGCCTGCTGGCGTGGTGACCAGGTGATTTTGGCACCCAGGAGCACGTGACCGCTTCTTCAACCATGTTCGATTGGGAATAAAGGAGGAACGCTGCATCGCAGCCTTTTCGGACCAAAACCAGTCGACTCAGCGTCCAAAAGACTGCAACATATGGGCCAATCGCGGTGATCCGTGCTTTTATAAGAACGAAATGGCGCTTTTAGTGACATTTTGCATACAAATCCCCATCTCGTAGGGCGCAGTCACCCAGTTTCGGTGGAAGTGCGCGAGTTCGATTGGGATTCAAGTAGGAAGGGAGCGTCTCAGCTTTCTCGGACCAAGACCATTCGACTCAGCACCCCGAAGACTACAACTGGTGAAATTTTAATTTTTGCCTTAACTTCCCCTTTAATCACCCTGCCTTTATCATTGTCCATTGCTGTAGTCGTTTCAATAATGTTTATAGTATATACTTTATACTAGCTATGCCAGCCTAGGAGGCTACTGTAAGTCTACAAATTTACGACCCATTCAAATTTCGGCCTCCCATAGGGCTAAAACCCATTTCGACCGCATTACATTTTCGGCCTGTACCGCTGCTGCCTGTATACAGTGTCACACTGAAACTTGCAAAAACAAAATTTCGGCCGCAACAAATTTTTGGCCAAATCATGACCAGGCCGAAAATAGCCGAAAATAAATATGCGCCGAATATTTGTTGACTTACAGCAGCTGCAACACTCAATGCCAGCTAACTGCAGAAGTTGAAAAGTCCACAATGTTTCAGGACCAGACGTACATGACTTTTTTTGTACACGTAGGTGATAGCGACATACACAAGACGTGCAGCGTACCTTTCCTGGCTGCTGGCAAGGTGAGACTCCTTCTTCTTGTCCTGCGAGGCGGCCCACTGCTTGAAGCCCGATGAGGCCGGCCGATCGCTGCAGTCCTCTTCCGACGTGACCAGCGTGTTGTTGCGGTGCATCTCAACCTTGCGGCGGCGAGCTGCGCGTAAGCTGCGGTGCTGCTTTGACGAGAAGCCACTTGCATTCTACACACAAGCCAAATATCAAACACAATACATTACTGCAAAACACAGAACTATAGTGCTGGCAACTGAAATCCGACCCCTGGAGCGATGTGCTCACATTGCAAACACCCAGCACGGGATTGAAACACTACGAGATAGAGAGACCGCTAGAAGTGGTGCTGCACTCCAGCACGAAAATCAGAGGTTGGATTTCAGTTGGCAGCACTGTTCCTTCACATGGGACAATACTGGACATGATCCAAATGTTGGTGCCACGATCACATCGAGTCTCAGGCGTACCATGTAAAAACTATTCAGTGCACTATCTCACCTCTCAAGACAAGTGCACATCCAAACGTCTTGATATCCTGTGTCGGGCTTCTCCGCCAACTGACGTCGGTCCCAGAAGAGCGTTCTAATCAAGCAGTATATTCGATTTACGCTATTTTCAAATTATTGGGATTCTGCCTGCAGTTAGCAGTAGTACAGCATGCATACTTGGTGGGGGCTACAGCTCCTTGCACTTCGACCAGAAAATAACTACCTCAAATCGTTCCTGAAACTACCTCAAATCGTTCCTGAAACTACCTCAAATCGTTCCTGAAACTACCTCAAATCATTCCTGAAACTCACCTCCGACCGTGCACTCCATCTTGTCCATGTAAGTCTCAGTAGCCAGCGAAAGCCAAGCCATATCACGCCAAATTCGGGGAATGGCAAGTCCTCGTAAGGATTGCGGCGTGAAAACCCTAGCATGGTTGCCTAAGAAAGCACAGCACAATGACAAAGGCATAGACGGTTTCATTGCTCAACTTTGTCCACGCTGTCACTCGCCTGTCCTTAGACTTAGTCAACTCGTCTCCGTAATCGAACTGCTGTGTTCCAACATGACTTAGGCACACATGCACACACAGACACACACATACACACAGACACACGCTACTTATCCACAACGTTGGGCTGGTCTGAAATGACTCTCTTGGTCTATAATGGCCAGTATTTTCACCATGCTGTGACTCTTGATAATACTCTATACAGTATACGAACATCAAACATTCTTACACTAGCCAAAAACATTTTTCCAAAAAATTCAGGGTGCGTAGATTAAATTTAGTACCGGTATGTAAAATTGAGAGCTCTTGGATTGGCTTACAACAAATTATCAGCGAACTCCACCACTCCACAGGGCGCTCTCGGCCGACAACTCCACTTGCACAGCACCACCATATAGAAAACAGTTTGGCTCAATGCAGTAGCTACATATACATGTATATGGTCAGATCCTCCAGACAGCTGTTCTGCTCCAACAGAGCTCACCAGTGAAGGTGGAAGATAATGATTGTTTAGGTACAGGAATGATGTTGTATGGGGCAAAAAGCGGACTCATTTTAGCACGTTCTACCTAGAATTGTCACATGCCCTACAATGCTAAAGTCACAGTGAAGCGAAAGGCGATAACGGTTGCAACAGACGTGATAATGCTGGTGCGCATTGCTGGGACATGGCATGCGCCGCTAGAAATGGCGTGGAAAGGTTCGTCCCCTATGCCGCTCAAATCTCTGTCATGATTGGCATATAGCGGAGATCCATGGTTCGAGTCCTGGTGGCGACGATCAATTTGCTGATGGGTACTAGTATCTGTCATAATCGATTGCTTTCCGCACCATTTCTAGCGCTGCATGTCATGCCCAAGCAAAGCACGCTTGCATTATCATGGAAACCGTTATCACCATTTTAACAATCCAGCACTCTAAGGCATGCCACACTTCTAGGGAGTAAGCTTTCGCCCCACCTAACAGCTTTCCCGCGCCTCAAATTCAATATCTACTACCTCCACGGATGAGCTCTGTTGGATCAAAACAGCTGTCTGGAAGCATCACTATGGTGGACTGGTACTGTGCAAGTGGAGACATGGCCCAGGTAGTGAAAGATTTCTCTTCTCAACTGATGCGGCGTGTGCATGTGAGTGTTGAAATGATTGCAAAAGATGTAGTAATGTTCAATTAGTCATGCAGTTGACATTTCAAACTCCCGACCAATTAGACTTTTGCTAAGTTTTGGTGTTGGGTTTCAACTTTCAAGAAAAGAATATGACAGGGATTCTACAGTGACATGTTTGCAATAATTCAGCATCGCCAAGATAGCAGTACTCGAAATTAGCACGTAAATAATAATTAATTTGACCATTTGCATATCGCAGTGAACTCTTTAAAATCCCCGTACCATGTCCCATAGCATTTTCGTACGTTTGTCAGCTTTAATTCAGAGAGAAGCCAAACATGACACTGGCTCAAAAAATCTCCTCGCCACCTTCATGACCACAAATAATTTTCAACCCATCCATTTACAGCCATTTCCCTGGCGGAACAGGGCTCCTTATCACCAGATTATACAACGACTTACATCAGAGCGTTGCGACGACCGGCTCCAGAAAGTTGTGCAACAGTGGCGGAAGCAAAAAGCGACGCCCTCCCTCCATGCTACTCTCTGAGACCGCGTTAGCCACTGAACTACAGCTACAGGCCAGCAAAGTTTTCTCCACAGGTGATCAGGGAGTACAAGTGGGACAAACAAAAGCTACGACTAGGCAAAGCCAAAGGATCCAAGACTCGAGCACTGGTGGTGTAATGTGCAGGGTGTCCGCGGGGTCATTCAGTCACATATCGCAACAACAAAAAATTGTAAAGAAAAGGGATTTGTGTGTGGTCATGTTTATGTAGCGAAGTCAAACACTTCGCCTTTGCCTTCGGTCTTGCATCATTAGTGGCGCATCTCTGAAGTACAAGTGACAAAAGTCAGTGGATCGAGAGACAAGCTGTCTTTCATTCATTTCAACGCACGTGCGGCAAGTGATCTGTCGTCGATCGAGTGGATATCTCCCCACTACCCCAGTGAGTTTGCCAGCCTTCGCCTTCGGCCAGTTCGGGCATATGCACATAAATTCATAATGCACAGGCTGTGATGATGCAAACTCGCCCAAGCCAAGGGCATGCATAAGCCATAACTTATGCATAAGCCGATGGCTGAGCATGAGATTGATCCGATTATTATTTTAGTTGATGAATGAAACTTTGAAAGAAGGAAACCAGATCGAAAGGAAATAAGCCAAAGCCAAAGTCGACACGAAAACAACGCATCTCTCTCCGATCCCAAGTAAACAATGTAAAGGTCTGGCTTGCCTCGGATCGGACGCGATCGCAAATGCAGGACTGGTGCAGGTGTTGTTTTTGAATTTTTGAATTTTCAGCTCATCTAGCCCGGTGCCATCAATCATGTCATGATTCATGACATGTCGACAGTCGAGTCGACTACACTGTCTACAGTCATGATCATCATTAGACATCAAGACGACATAAAACCTACTGTGAACTGTTTGTCGGTATGCCAGTTTAAAAGTATACTGCCGCCATGTACTACTGACACTCGTAGATTCTACTCTTGATAAATATCGTGATAACAATCAACATCGAGTCAAAACCGGTTTGTGACGGTGCTGTCGGAATGGAAGCTCGAGATCTTCTCGATATCATCAACCTGGTACTGTACTCTGGAGAGTGGAGACCAACGTTTCAAATGGCTGAAGGTAACAACAGAATACTACATCACGTATGATGTACACTACGGTCCTGCTAGCACATGGGCAACATCTTCTAAACATAACTGATAACCGGAGGGTAGGGCAATGGTGGTGGGGAATGTCAATGCAGAAAATTCTAAACATGATGAAAATTAATAATTGTTTTATAATTTATAATGGGATAATGGAATAATGGAATATAATAATTATTATGAAAATCCCCGCACCTAGTACACTGTACCTGCAAATACAAATGTACAAAATCAATGATAACAACATTGTGTGGCCGATATAAAATGCAGATCCAACCGAAGCAATCACGTGGTATGTACGTCAACATGTTTATCGGGTATGAGTTTTTCCCACTGCATGTGTAGCTACACAACTTGACACATGCACATCCGGCCTTTGGCATTGCAATGTTGAAAAGTATGCAGCCGCGTACACATAGATACCGTACGCATAGAAAACCATGCAGGGATGGTTGCTTTTCACTCACTTCCGCTGCTCTTATAAACTCTGTGTGCTCAGTAGATCTACAAGCTGTATACAGGGTCTGGTAGGTTTTAAAACATAATAATTATATTACGGGCTCACGTGCAGGGCTGGTCAAGAACCACCTTTCCGCTTCCGTGGGACGCCACCTCCCCACGATCAGGCGTCAAAACCTGCTTGTAAATGGGACTGTTGAGTACAAGTAGTATTTTTACTACTACACTCGTATCTCTCTTACTCTTAGCCCGTACATTTGAAATGTCCGTACGGTAAAACCGGGAATTTCCGGTGGTGTAATATTTTCGGTATTTCCCAAAATCAACGGTTCGGTAGCGCAAAAATTTCAGTAAACCAGTTTTCCAGATTCAAAAAATGCATTTTGCACACTGTGTGGCATGGCATGGTTGAGTTTTACATGTAAAGTAAAGTAAAGTTTGCACGTCCGCGTTACCACCAGCTATACAATTGTGTTTGAGAAACACAACCAGCTTAGGAAGTTTTACATGTAGACCGCGTTTTATTTTAGGTAAAAAATTACCCGTACCGAAGTTACCGAAAATAAATCTCCACCGAAATTTTCCGGTTTTGCAGTAACTCGGGAAGTGCCAGAGATCTGATATATGACGTCACTACTTCCCCAAATACTGGCACAAGAGTAGTAATATCTCCACTGAAACTCACCCACAGGGTGCCCGGTAGACCGAGGTGACCGTAACGATATGAGAGATACGAGTGTACACGTATAGTACTACCAAGAGTAATAAAATATAAAAAATGTAATGTTTATCTACTCTTGGCACTGCTCTAAGTGTACAGCATTGTGCAGTAAGTTGCGTTCATCGTAAATATAGTGTACACGTTACCATGGTTACCGAATACCTCGAGGTCCCAAAGGCTCCTGGATAAGATAAGAAAGGGTTGTATGCACATGTACTTCATTCAGGTTGGTGAGGGCCAGGGAGTCAATCATGGCAAGAGACCATGTCATGTCACATCCACTCTGTCAATACGACAGTAGCAGCCCAATGGGCATGATCATGTGACCATGTGACTGACACGTGACACTGTTGAGCAGTACCTGTCAGCCAGACTGGGTTTTGTTGAGGAGTGCTGCAGTCAACAAGCAGAGTCACGTACAATTGGAGCAGAGTTGCTGTGCTGCTAGCCTACCATTCTCAATCATCTGCAGGACTTTGATCGGTGTTGTTCCTGGATGCAGTGTTTGTCTGTGATAGTGCAGGAGAGTTTACTTTTCTGGTTAGAAGCGCTTTTTTAACTGTGAGACTTGCCTGTTGGTATTAGGTACTGCTGGCCCTGCAGCCCAATGATGGCAAGGTGCTGTTATCTTGTGCTAGTGGCTGCTGTGTGCCTGGGTGTCATCATCCCAGTCTGGTCCAGAGGTGGCAGGCGCTTTCGCAACACATACGGGTATGCATGTTGAATACTGGCAATGTGGAGTCGTGTGCCAGCATGTCCATTCATATGGCTGGGTGGTAGCTGTTTCTGAGTCTGTGCTCATTGCTCAGCTACTGGATGAATGGGATGATGATGGGTAGTGATGCTTGTTCACAACACACAGACACACGCGCGCGCACAGACACACTGTCACTCTCTGTAGATGTGCACATGCTTGTGCATGCACACTTACATGCACATACCCCCCCCCCCCCCTCCCTCTCATCTCTGTACTATCTCGTTCGTCTTTTCACTGTGAAAGTGATCCCCGTACTTTGTTCTTTTCTTGGTTATTTGTAGAGAGGAGCACTTCAAACGACAGGAGTTCATTGAGTTGCCGTCCGAGACACCGTTTTACTCTTGGTCGAAGGGAGAGGTAAATACAAGAAAGGATACATTGCAATGATGCATCTTTAATTCTTTATAATGTGCTTTTAGTTGATAACTAAATATTGCGACAGAGCTTTCGGCCATATTTTCAATTCATTGCATTCCCAACTCATCACAACCACGCGCTCTTCAGCCGAACCATACTTTTAGTTGATCATACAAAAATGAGTTGAATTGTCAAGTACCAACCTGTCTCCCCTCAATAATGTTACTATGTAGGTGGCAAAGAGCCCTGCCCGATCCGCAAACACTGGGTGTTGTCCTGATGTGATGGCATATTTCACGCACCCTGCACGTACATGTCATGTACATTCAACTTGGTCCGTCGTGCAGTACGGCGTGCTGTGTGTGTGTGTGTGTGTACTGTGTTATCGATCGGTACTGCAGCGTGTGCAATGCCTGTTCACTCTGCATAGCATTCGGGAGAGAAATCCCACCAACCCCCTCGGACCGATAAGTGCAGCAGTAATCATTTCAGCTCTCACATGTTGATTGCGTATCTGCATCCCTGTATTTCTCCTGTTCTGTTTTCCTGCGTTCTCCTCTACTATAGGCTTCAAAGTCTTATTTGACCAATGCCTCCATTGTATTCCAAGATGAGTTCACGGAGTTTGACTTGGAAGGTGAGAACTAGGATTTCACCGAGCGCAACTGTAGTAGTAGGGTCCTTACTGTTGCTACCTGCACCGGGGTTTTGTCTGATCATGGCATAGTTTGATCATGGCATAGTTAGAGAGTTACCTGTAGTCTACCAGTACCAGTCTCATGTTTGCCATGTTCTGCCATGCAATGAGCCATTTCCCCTGAACTGTAGCTTTTTAAGTTGAATTTTAACTCACACGTGCACATTAGCACATGCACACAAACGTGCCCCCCCCCCCCCCCCATGCACACGCTGCGACACAGTATGCGTACTTGCAACTAGTCTTCATAGACGTGTTCCTTTGAGCCAGAACACAATGGTGTGCATGCGTGTGCTGGTACGTGTGTGTGTTTGCTTCTGCAGTCTGGCAACCGGAGATCACCTTGTCTGGTGGTGGGTAAGTGGTTTAGTACACTCTGCATGTCTTGGGTAATGCAATCTGGAGTACCGGTATTCACTCCTTACATCGATGTCTCCTTCCATTGTGTCACTGGGTGATTTTGTCATGCTGGTACTGGTTATAGAGCTTATGCGATTACATCATCAGTGGAGATGCTTTGCACTTGGCAAAGTCGCGGACTCGCGGCACACCGCTGCACTTGCACTAGCGACTCCCGCTGCGTACTTGGTGCCCATTAGAAAATCCGCTGACTCACGTTGTGTACTTAGCGCTCATTAGAAAATCCGTCATGAAATCATCCACATAACCTCTATTGCTACCACAGGGCGCTGGTATTTCCATTAGGTATTTTGAGTTCAGTACAGTTTGGCATATGCGAATATTTGGGTTGCCATTGTGCGGCTGACATTGCCGCGGAAATGCATATAATAATAATAATAATTTTGAGTTCTCCTTTTTGTGTATGTTATGTCCGTACTCTGCTGTATCTCACAGGAACTGGCAATTTGACTGGGCCTACAACAATCGCTCAAACACGTAAGGAAATGGGAAACACCCACAGTCTCTCTTTCTCTCTCTCTCTCTCTCTCTCTCTCTCTCTCTCTCTCTCTCTCTCTCTCTCTCTCTCTCTCCCGTCTTGTGTTGTACTGTGCGACACGTTTGCCTCACTTGAGCTGACCACCTGGAACGCAACTTCCTCTGCCTGGTATACCACTCCTCCGCGCACCTTTCAGTAAAATCTGCCCAAACCGGACACACCTTGGTGCAATGGAAACTGTCCTGACAATGATAGGATTCCGCTTGATCCAAGGATGCACGTACGATCCACACAAAGTGCATGAAAATGTGTCCAGTCAACACAGGATTCCGCTTGATACAAGGTCCGGCAAACACCGGTTTTACTGTATGTGTGTCAGTGCAGAGCGCTTACAGCGATTACGCTGGGATATATTGACAATGACAGTTGTGATTCAATTGTTCTTGTTTCTCTTGACATTGTTGTTTGTTTTCCCCAGCTATGTGAGAGATGGAGTTCTCTACCTGAAGCCAACATTCACATCAGATTACATTGGAGAGGCCGCGGTGGAGTCGGGCTTTGACCTGGACGTCTGGGGTGGCTCACCGGCCGACTATTGTACAGGTGTGTGTGTGTGTGTGTGTATGTGTGTGTGTGGGGGGGGGGGGCACGCACACTGTCACCAACTCCCCTCTGCTGTATATTACGTGTATGCGTTATACTGAACATAGTACAGAAAACAGTACCAGTGGAGCTGGTGGTGACTTGGGGGGGGGGGGGGGGGGGTGCGTGTGTGTATGTGTGTGTATGTGTGTGTATGTGTATGTGTGTGTGTGTTTACACTGTACCTGAAGTACATGTGTATAGTGAAACCTTTTCTAGGACGACAGCCACTCACGGAACCCGAACATGTACTCCCCACACACGAGTGATCTCTCTGTCCTGATTCAAATGATTGGAAGTAGCCACTTTTGGTAGCCACTTTTGGTCCCAATTTTAGTATTCCTCCGGGTCAAATGGTTGCCTTATGTGAATGGTCCCATGACAGGCGTTCAGTGCTGTTTGTAGTTTGCCCAACTCTTTTGTCACAGCAATGAAATCGATGATCTGTGTGGGCGTGTCTCACAAACACCTCACCTTGTGATGGTAGTTGGATTTCCAGAGCGTTGTCATGTCACAATCATCAGTGCGAAAGAAACTGTTGTGTTTTTTTCTTTCTTTTGTATGCCCTGCACCGACTATTGTAGGAAACGAGTTCTACGGGTGCGAGCGTACAAGTGGTGCTGGTGGTAACTTTCTCAACCCAATTCAGTAAGTCCATGTTGTTCATCTAGTTCTCGATTTTACACCGTGCAGGGATGTACTGGTATGGATATGCTGAGTTGCCGAAGTCTGCCTGTGTAGACCTGTTTTCATATGGAGGTTTTGTTATTACATCGTCACTTATGTGTCCTTTGTACAGACTACGGAGTGGCATCACAGCCACTGGTTTGCCACTCAATACGGTGATGTCATCGCATGCACGGTGATATCATCACATATACCGTATTTCCCCGATTATAAGTAGCACCTTTTTACACTAAAATTCAGTGTAAAAAAAGAGGTGCGACTTACAATCGAGCATGACTTACTACTGAAGGGAATTTATCGCAACAATATGGCTCAAACCTGAAAGTGGGGGTGCCACTTATAATCGGGGAAATACGGTACGATGATGTCATCCCCATCAACTCGATAGACGATAGTCCATGGAATGGAGAGGTCTGTAATGCTATTGTGTCCCGAGTCCTCACTACAAAACCAGGCTCTAAACTGGGAAAGGAGTAGTTATGGCGATCCACTTTCTATCTTCAGTATCACTATGTGTGCTTTACTCAAGCACAACAACAAGCACTGTACTGAAGTGTTGATATTTCAAGCCTTGCAGTTCCAGGCTAGAGATCCCTGCCGCCAAACCAAGGCTAATAAATGTACCGTGTGTATGCGTACGTGTGTATGTGTGTGTGTGTGTGTGTGTGTGTGTGTGCATGTGTGGTAAGTGTGCATGTGTATGTATGTATGTGTGCGTCTGTGTCTGTAAATGTGTCTGCATCATGTTTTGCGAAAATAGATCAATGGCTTTGCGAACTGTCCACTCATTCAATTTCAAATATGGACGCATGGAGATCCGTGCCAAGCTTCCCAAGGGGGATTGGATCTGGCCGGTAAGTCCATGCGCTTATTCGGCTTATCTGTGTATTCCACCCACACCCCTACCAGTATTGATGCTCACTCTTGTTGTCATCTGTTTCGCTCAGAAAGATGTAGTTCAGTTGGTTCTCAAGAAGAATGCAAACGGTGAGCCTTCACTCACCCCGTACGTACAAGGCATGACGTGACGACATTTCTGGCATGATGTGTGTGCGTGTGTGATATGCGCTGTTTGAATGTGTGTCCCGTGCTCTGCTAGGCCATCTGGCTGCTGCCCACCTCCAATCAGTACGGTGGCTGGCCTGCCAGTGGCGAGATTGACATCATGGAGTCGCGCGGCAATCCGGCCAGCTATGCGGCGGGTGGTGTGAACACGTTTGGCTCCACTCTCCACTTTGGTAAATACACTCTATACCAGTATGCATGTGCTTCTGATGATTGGTTCAATCGCTCCGAGTTACAACATAACACAGTTTCCCGCCATTGTGAACTGGTGTTGGACATGTCTTACTAGACGTTAAAATATACTAATAAAACATTGTTGTGATGAATGCAAGTTGTTTATATCATTTGTAGACCTCAATATAAAACCTGTAGCTATAAAAAATGGCTGTAAAAACCTACCAGTGAATCAGTGATAAAAAAACTGTATAAAAAACCTGTAGCTATAAAAAACCCACTTTTTAGGGATTGAATAGGAGAATATGCAGAAATATAGAGTAGAGCGTAGAGTAATAAAGCGAGAGATCACAACAAGAACAACAGATACAAAAATTCACTTATTATTGTCATCGTGCTCTTTCTTTGGCTTCTTCTTCAATTTCAAACTCGGGCGATTCTTACGTTTCTCAGGCAGCTGTGGAGTTATGTTGATGGTGACATGCGACCAAGTTGAGCCTTGAGCAGAGAACAGAGGGCCCAGTGGTGAAGGACTAGATGCTGCAGCAGCAGTGACAGCAGCAGGCGGTGCAGACGCAGGTGAAGCAGATACAGGTGCTGCGAGTGATGTCTGCGGACTAACATTTTCCTTGTCAATTGCTTTTTGACAAAGCCACGACATCCAATGCCCTCGGCCGGCCATATGCCTGAAGTGACTGCACATTGCGATGCACACTTACGGTGCAGATCTTGCGACCCTCAGCTCCGGAAGCCTTCACGTGGGATATAGAAGTAACACGGACGCAGTGCTTAGTGTACGTCTGGCCAAGGCCAGCGGCTGAAGAAATCTCCTTCATCATCTTTCCTCCATAGCAGTATCACAAAATAAGATATCTGTTTCTGTGTATTATAGTTTATACAGAAACTGATATCTTAATGTAAATGAGTGAAATGAGTCATTGATCACAACCTACAGAATCTCAATAAATATTAGATACACGTATAGAACAGCTGGTAGGGACCACTGACACCAAACACAGAAGCATGAAGCAAGAGTTATACAAAACACCGTTTGAAATGGGAGAAAATACAGCTACTTGCCCAATGTGCTGTGTCCAAGTGCCGACTTCATAAACCAAACATCACAGCACATGGCGAGCACCCCACTTCCGTACTTTGCGCGCTAGAATAGACGATCCATTTCTGGATGGAGCTTCGACGGGTACCTTCGGAAACAGCGATCATATCAGATCTCGTGATCGCTCCGCTGGTCTCGGCATGGCTCCCTGTCAGACCACCCTGGTGGTTCTTTGACATACAATCAGCATACCAGAACAATGGCTTCCTCACCAGTGATTGTCATGAGTACGAGGTCGGATGGCTTGAGCTGGGATTGTGCCTCGTTTCCACAGAGACAGAAATGGATCATGTCTGTTGAACCACACGTACTGAGTGAGCTTCTTTACGTCCAGAGTAGTGCTTACGTCTGCCAAAGATCCACGGTAGACGTCGGTAGTAGATGGGGTATGATGAGTGCACCTCATATTCTTCTCCCATTCTTCATAGGCAGCTGCTCGAGTCGTATACATATCATTGATAGTAGCAAAGTCCTTCTGCTTTTCCATCAGCTTCGGACGTATCTTGCTTGTGCGCTCCACTGCCAGCTCAGCATCTTTTTTGCATTTTTAACCATATCTTGATAATATGGTGATTGTCTCAAATCGGAATCAACTCTTGGTAACTCTCTAGTCATGCCGTCGATCATCATTATCTGTTGCTGATTACTGTACCCGGACAGTTTCTCCCAGTCTGCATCGGAAATAGTCTCCTTGTGCGTGACCGGGGCCCTCTCGGCCATTCTTCTTTTTGTCCTTGAGAACAGCATCAAGCAGTTTGTTGGCGCGGTCGAACTTTAGACTTTTCAAGTCAATTCCTCTGTTGAAGATATTTAGTTGGCGCTGGATATCGCCTCTGGCTGCAATCATAGAAGCACACTTGTACTCAGTATTATCCTTTTTCCAGGCATCTTCATCGTCCGAACAAAAGTCTTTGAACGCAGACATCCAAAACCTCGTTGCTTGCTTTGTTTTCTGAGGTACTGCTTCGTTTAGAAGACGAGCCTTCTCTTCGTCAGAAACTGGAACGAAACGAGGAGAGGAAGCTGAATCTGCCATCTTGCCAAAGAGGGAAAGAACGAAAAAACACGATGAGCCTCCAAAAAAGATGGATCTAAGGGTGTGTTCTTAACTCCTCTCGGAAAAGTCCGAGAGCTGTTCTTATATCCTCTCCGAATTTTAGGAGGCTCTCCAAAGCTCTCCAAGCTCTCCAAGCTTCAGAGGTGGTTGAAACTTGAAGATTCCCGCGGTTTGGGATCAACGCATGAACTACAGCTAAAAGTCACGTGTTGATCATGAGTGTACGCATTTCCCTTTTCACGTACGCACAATGCGTACTACATTCATGGCACTCAAGATAGTGGCCCCTTTGGCGCTTCATATTGCTTCACATGTGCAAAATATTTCCGAATTCTTCGAGACCTGTTCTTAAATTATACTTTGAAGTACCAGTTTCTTCGACTTCTCTTTTCTTCTTCTCTGAGAAGCTAGAGAATATAAGAACGCACCCTTTAGGCTATGATCGTTTGGTCGGATCCAGATCTCAGATCCATCAGATCCTTCAGAATCAACCGATCACTTTTTTGTACCTTGGTTCTGATCGCGCGTGTCATACGAAAAGTCAATAAGAATCGACTAGTCGCACGACAATGAGTACAAGAGTGATTTTTACCCGCCATATACGCACAACGGTCACATTTGGATCCGATGGATCGAGTCAACCCTGCTCCGGGGCAGGGTTGCTCGGATCCAAATCCAAATCCGAAGGATCTGGCTCCGGATTCGACCAATCGATCACTGCAGATCCAGTGGACCCGACGGATCTGAATCTGGATCCGACCAAACGATCACAGCCCAAAATGGATTCTCACGAAAATCGTTTTTTTATTAGTTTATTTTAAAAAGAATAGAAACTTCGCCCTCGTGTTTTAGGAAAAATAAAACCCTTGTCAAAACCTCGGCTTCGCGTCTGTTTTTTTACTCTGGTTTTTATTTTTCGTAAACACTCAGGCTCAGTTACTATTCTCGTATAAGTAGACACCATTTTTGATTCATGAACTTCATTTATGAAACCTGAAACCTCGCTGCAATACTTTGTTACCCTGATGATGTGCCAGGCCCGAAAATTTGGTGGAACATTCAATGATTGATTTTTTTTCTCAGTGAAGAGACCATTATGAGGAGTGTTGGAGTGAGATTTCATAAATGTGTATGTAGCTGCGTTGGAGTTTGCGGACAATAAGAAAAGTTCATGCACGTCATGCCGAAGTAATCATCAGACAATAGCTTCGTTGCAACTACTTCGAAGTACATTCCGATTGGACGTTTCTCTCTTTTGTAAACGTGCCCTGAGTAATTCTGCATGAGAAGTGCCCCTTGCTATGCTTTGTGTCTGTGTGTTGTGTCTGTGTGCCGTCGGTCTGCGTGTCGTGTCTGTGCGTTGTGTCTTGTCCATACCTGTAGGACCTCACTGGCCAGCGGATGCTTACTTAAAGGCCCACGCCGAGGCCAAGGCACCAGCAGGACACGACTTCAGCGAGGACTTTCACGTGTTTGGTCTGATTTGGAACGAGACGTACCTTGGCACGTACTTGGATCACCCAAGTCAGCCCATTCTGGAGCTGCCGATCAAGGAGTCATTTTGGTCCCTGTAAGGAGCCGCAAACTTGCACTTTTCTGTATCGTGTGTGTGGTCCTTGCTATTGCGGAAGGGTTTACCGGGTGTTAGCGGCCGTCCTGAGTTCTCTCGGGAACGGACACGATAATCTACTCTTTTTTTTACTTTTGGTCCTTGAGGGTGGTGGCATTCCTACGGATGTGGAAAAATTCAGCCTGTGATCTGTGAAATTATTATCGCAGGAACCTCGTTGAGTACCGGAGAAGTGTGCATGGTGTTGTGCACATGCAGTGGTGGCCGAGTGGTTAAGGCGATTGACTAGAAATCAATTGGGCTCTGCCCGCACAGGTTCGAATCCTGTTCACTGCGTCAACTACTTTAAAAAAAATTATTTTTGCTTTTTGCCAAGAAAGAGTCGATGAGCATGAAACTGTAGTTATGGGTCAGTGTGCTACGCACTGTGTTCATCACGTAACTTGCCTGCATCGCGCTCTGTACTCGTAAGAGTCATTACTACAACGAGCCACATTTTTTTGATCAATTGTAACTACACGGTCGACAGTTTAGATAGTGGACTAGAAACAAAACAGATTATGATATTGCAAACCACAGCAGGAACTACCAATGGCTTTGTTGTTGCGTATGTGCTGATATGATCATCTTCTTCTCATCGACTCGCGATTCTACTTGTAGTTGAGAATTATTTTGTTTTCTTGCGCTTGTGTGTTGGTTAGTGGTGGCTATGACAAGAGCAAGTTTGACAATCCGTGGGCTGGCCGTGGGAAGAACGCACCGTTCGACCAGAAGTTCTATTTGATTTTCGACATGGCTTGTGGCGGCACAAACGGGTGAGGTTACGTTTTTTGTTTGTTTCTATCGTCACCAAATTTATTTTCTAGTGTGATGGCGTATCCTTAGGGTGCAACACTAAAGCAACAAGTACTGTTATTCTAACTCCACGATTCGGGTGATAACGGTTCTTGTATTGTGCGTATGGGATTTGTTCTTTTCGCTTCGTCTTCCTTGTAGATATTTCCCGGACGGGCAGGGTGGCAAGCCGTGGACAGATAAAAGTGAGCATGCTGTCAATGAGTTCTGGGGCGGCCGATCCGCATGGCAATCAACCTGGAAGGGAGAGGATGTTGCCATGCAGATAGACTATGTTCGTGTCTATGATCGCTGAGCCGCTCGGAATGGAAAGCCCCATGGCGTTGTGCCGGACACGGCTATTTCTGCCAAACCTTTGACTGCAGTTTTGAAATGGTTTATTTTCTCTTTCCCCGCATCATCCCAACGTTGTGTTGCTCTATGCTGATCTCAAATCAGTGCTGTTGGTGCTATTCATAATTGGATCTTATCTTTCACCGTATTCTGGAAGTACTTTGACCTTACTGTAAGGAAAGATTGTGTGAGTCCAAACGAATATACCGTACTGGCGCGATTAGAGCCCTCTCTTGAATAGTCTCTAAGAGCCAGTGGAAGAAGCATAGCCCTCTCTTGAATAGTGCCCCCCCCCCCCCCCCCCCGGCTTGTGACCAAGCGCATGTCAGATGGACATTGAAAAATAGTGCCCCAGGGGCACTAATCGAGCGAGTACGGTATGCTGTATTTTTCCGGTTATAAATCGACATTTTATGACCTAACACCCGAACTAAAACAGGGTGTTACAGTTACAACTGGGTTTCACCACCATTTAACCCAGAAATCAAGGTCCAGAGTGTGAGGGTCGGCCTATAACCGGTAAAAGACAGTAGTTGAAACTGAGAACTCGATTGGTAGCAATCAAAGGATATGGACAGATATCCGTTGTGAACTTCAGCCTTGCGAAAAAAAGGTGCATCCTTGTGGTCTGTAGGTCTTTTATCTGAGCCTCTGCTCACTGATTTCCATTGCACTGTGCCCAATGCAACGTAATGGATTCGAGCTACATGTACTTACCTTAATAATGCACCCTCGGTGTCCCTGGTCACTTTTTCGATGGCGATTATGTTTTTTTGGCCTACGTGGGGTTATGTAGATTTCCTAAGCATTAACACTTTAGATGGGGTAGGGTGCAGCATTGAATTGGAACCTTCTTGTGAAGTGCGAGTAACTGGATTATAGTAAGCAGCTAGTTGCAAAGCTGATGAATAGCACGTAAAAACTCACACAAGTAACTCGACTGCATAATACTTGTGGCTAATCCAGGAACATGTAGACTGGTATGCAGAGGCTGCATGGAATAGGGCAGAGAAAAAGGTAGCTGCAGAATTGATTTAAAAGAGCAAGTCATACCTGCAAACCCTTGCAAACCTGAGATCGGGACAATGACATACCCGGTACCTAGGTACAAGTATGAAACATGAAAGTGTATACAAATAATTGAGATAGTTGGCAGGTGTGGCAAGTGCACAGCGAGAAGTGGTGGGGGGGGGGGGGGGGGGGGGAGGTGCACACTCAAGTACTAGAGAAGTGGGGAGGTGCACACTCAAGTACTGGTGCATGACATCATGCAACCTTTATGTCTAAGTGAAGATTAAAATGAGCAAACAGGAATGGCACAACGCACGCCACACATCAATGCTCTTCTGTGGTACGACATAGCACGAGGGGAGGGGGAAGGAGGTCCTCTGCCTTTTCTGCCCCCCCCCCCCCAACAATCAAGTGAGTGTTGATGGAGACGACCTATAGCAGAGCTCTCTCCCTGCAGTACTGTGCAGCTACGTAGATAATACATGTTCCGTGGCACTACTTGGCCTTCTTCAGAAAGCGTATTTTGGCTCCTGTGTTCATCTCCGCAGCAAAGCACCACTTTCCTAAAGGCACTGCAACGGACGCCCTGCAGCCAGTCCTCGGGTGTGCCCCAGTCAGCAGGCGTTGATCACAATCCAGACGTAACACTATGCTATCTCCAGGCTGCCACGGTTGTCCAAGCTCTTCACTGCTGCCAACACAATATTGTTGTACATTGCCACCATGAAAGCTAACCCATCCCAGAAATGGGTCGTTTCGCGAACATTCCGAAACAGCTTTGCAATTTTCCTTCGTGACTCCAATGAACATTCCCTTTCCAGTGTCCTTGACTTCCATGGTGCACTCCACAACACCGTGGCAATAGCTGCCCAGTGTGGAGACTGGTGCATACTTGCGACTGTCGGCACATCTCTCGATGCCATGGCCGTACGCCGACAGAGTGAAAGCTGACGCGTCGCAACTGAATTGATCAAAGGCGGGATGCACAAAGACGGTTCTCTTCAACTCTCCAGTTTGGGATGCACGTCCAACCAGGTCTCCAAGCTCTGCTTCCTGGCCTCGCTCCCCACCTGTTGCAAACGCAATGTAGGATATATCAATGTCTGCATCGGATGGCAGGTCGGGTAAACATTCCTCGCTGCAATCAACAATATCCTTGATTTGCTTGTCCAAGATCTTCTTCGCAGCCAGAAGGTGGATGTTGTCCAGTTTCTGAATAAGAAACTCACAGGCGTCCAGCTGATATCGCTTTGTACTCGCAACGTCCGCTCGCTTCTCCAGCTGTTTCAGAGCTTTCCAACGCACTGCATCCAGCTGATTCAGAAGATCGTGTTCCCTCTGTCCCACGGCTTTGATGTAGTGTTCGAAGTCAGTATAAATCTCTTTCGACAACGCTTCAATTTTACTATTGATATTAGGAGTGCGAACTGCAATGCAGTCTCCAGCATCATCGAGCTTATCTCTCCAGGAATCGCTGCAATCACTGAGCTGTGTCCTCCATTCTTCTCGTACCCGCTCAGCTGCTGTCTGAATTCCTTCGAGACCTGGCGAGCAGTTGATGTGGGTTCTCTCACATATCTCACAGGCTACTGCCCTGCAGTCGTTGCAGTAAGTTCTCGCGGCGAAGTGTGGGTGCATGGGGCACAATTGTGAGGAGACGTTTTGTCTTGCCGCGGATATTGCTGCCAGGCGCACCACTTGGTGGTTACGAGAACTTCTCTTTCTCGAATGCACCCTGCCATGACCATCACATAAGTACCATTTACATTCCACGCATCGTGTTACAGCGGGCTCAAGCTCCCCTTCGCACTCCGGATTTTGACAGAATGGTTGCCCGTCCGATCCGTGGCCACCACCAGCACTAGCACTCGCTTCGCTTTCATTCAACTGGCCGCTAGGCTGCTGCTCAGATCTTGGCCAGTCCACAAGCGATTCCTCCAGTCTCACACCTGGAAGCGCACAGCCCGCCACCTTCAAGCACTTGAAGCAGGACACTGTGGCATCCACGCTGTTGACGTATTGCGTCAGACACGGCACGCACATCGCGTGCAAACAGCTCAGCAGCTTCAACGATTCTGCCTCACTTTGGCCGCAAGCGACACACCGAACTGATTTCAGCAGCTCAGCTGGCTCGTCAGACCTAGCGGACTCGGGCAATCCTTCCACCACCTCCATGTTTCCAGAGATCTGTATTTCTAGCAATGTCAGTGTTGGGGATTGTTATCTACTAATACTATGCTTACGGTACTGTCAATTAAACTATTACTTGCACAATGCAGTTTGCTTCATGCCTTTAACCAATCAAAATAATAGTAGTTTTGCCAGCTAACAGCTAACTGAGTCTGTCCTTCAAAGAGAAAACGCACAAAGCTTCTGGCTACAGTAGAATGTCAAGTACAGCTCTCGCCGGACAGAACTCATGAACCCACATGGTAATCCGTTGATTCCATCTCCATTTGGTCCGTCCATTCATGTACATGTGGTCACTAGTCCTGCAGCCTGCACGGGCTCTTTTTGTTTCGACCAAACGGGACCACACGACGCTTGCAGACACTTGCACGAACAGTTCACCAGCAGCACTCCACGACAGCAAGTAGGTAGATCTACTCCTGACCAGCTTGTTTCGTTCCGTACGATGATGGGAACTCAGAGGAGAGCAGAATGATGTTGAATGAGAGGGTTGAATAAGGCAACACTACAATTGGAGGTCATGACTTTGTGTATGCACTCGACTAACTCACATTATGTGACAGCCTGCCTGACACAAACCGAAATAGTGAAGAATGGAGGTGCTTTGAGCCCTGCCAACAAACAGAAGTGCTACTTCAATCACAAAGAGAAAGAGAGGTAAACAAACTATTCATTGTAGGTTGCGCTGTACATGTACATTTCGATACTGGAGTGGTGACAAAGAAAGGTGCGAAGTAGAAGCAGGCGACAGGCAACACAATCATATCGGATGTCGCTGACTTGTGTGTTGGTGAAGTATAAATTTGTCTTGTGGCAATTATTTTCAGGTGTGATGTTAGACGTCCGATATGATTTCGTCGGCTGTCACCTGGCTTCTACATGGTAATCATTCTTTCCTAGTTCTACTTCACACCTTTCTCAACTGCTTCAACTAATGAACTATTGCTGGCTGCTCGCGATCCGTCGCTTCGTTCCTCGCGAGCTGCTCGATGCGATGCCGCGGCTTTGCATCGATTGCGTCGTCGTCGTCGTCGTTGTTGCTCCTTCTGGTTGTGCTTGCAACTACATGTACTTGGTAGTGTAAGTGAAACAATGTCGTCCTGTGTGGTGAGGCCTCGAGGGTGAATAATGGGTATCCGGACTTCTGGTATATTTCCAAAAAGAACCTCGGAATGGAAGAACCTGAGACTTGAGAGTATGTCTGGCCCCCTTCCGCGAAGTTCCGGTCAGGACATTCGGCCGCTCTCGGACCCGATGTCCAGTGCCTAATCCTGGCCTCGGCAGCGTGAGGGAGCGCTGCCCAGGAGATCTACGCAGTAGCCATCGTTACCATTCGTGCTCATTGCTGGCCGCTCGCGCGATCGCTCGCTTCCTTCCTCGGCCTCGTGCGCTGGATGCTTTGCATCGATTTCGTTGTTGTTGTGCTGCTGCTGCTGCTGCTGCTGCTGCTGCGGTGGAGGTGGTGACAGGTCATGGTGGTGGTGGTCGTCGTCGTTGTTCCTGTTGCTTGTGCTTTCAACTACCGGTACTTGGTCCTGAAGTGAACCTTTGTCTTCTTGTGTGGCGAGGGTGAAGAATGGGTGTCTGGACTCCTGGTATCTTTCCATAAAGAACCTTGAAATCCTGAGAGTATGTCTAGCCAATTCCCCCGGTCATCACAACTGTACCTAATACAGTAAAACCTGTCAAGGCGACCACTCGGATAATGCGACCACCTGTTAAAGAAGACCACTGGAGCCAGGACCAAGGGATGGTACTTCCCCTGGATAAGGAGACCACCTGGCAACAGAGACCACATTTTGAAGATCCCTTGACTCCCTTGAGCGGTCGTCTTAGACAAGTAGTTTCACTGTACATGTAGATCTACTTATACAGTCATCATTCATCACGAACTCATAGATCTATACTACTCGTGCCGGATGGCCATGATCATGCCAAGGACGTGGACCATGCCCATGCCCCCATGGTGGACGACGTGGACTGATGTCGTGTCACGGATCGGTGATGATAGCAATGCCAACCGAGCCCGAACGGTTCAACCGGCCTTTTCCTTTGGCTTTGGCTTTGTAGGGCAAGCAGGACCATGCCAGATTCTTTATTTTGCTTTCGAGCTTCGTGGCGACCACGTACATTTTGTACAGTCATGCAAATCTTCGGATTTCGTGTTCCGAAACTGCGAAAGGCAAACCAGGGAGTCGTAAAGCTTCCTGATTCCCGATTCCTGTTAGATGTAGATACATGTATCTACATGTCAGATTGTAAACATTTTCTGAGGGTCACCGAAGCAGGGATATGCGTGTGTATGACTGTGTAGTCAGTCCTAGATCCTGGACCTGGGGACATGACATTGATTGACATCAGGGAGTAGAAAAATACATTAAATTTTCATTACTCTCTGATTGACATCCTGACATTACTCATTAGTGGCGACCGTAGTCGGTTTAAACGTTTGCTTGTGGCCAAATGCAAACTGAGCAAGAAACAAAATAATTACGTGGTCAGACCATTCGTGCTTGTCGGAAGGCTCTGCCTTTCGCTTCCTTGCGAACATGGTGTCGCTGGTAGTGGCCGTTTGCTACTACATGTACTCCATATTGGGAGTTGTGTCACTTGTTTCAATGGCTAAGAGTGGTAGCGGGCAAGGGCGAAACGTTACGGTTAGCGACGATAGCTTCGTCAACAGCCTGGGCATGCAAATGGTGAAGATTCCTGCCGGGCATTTCATCATCGGATACAGTGATAGGTAGGTTATAAGGTTATAAAATAATGAACACGGTGCTGTAGATCATATCGACCTCTACATGCATGCTTCGTTGTTCTTTGGTCTCAGTATTGTGTTGTTGGCCTCTGAATGATTATGGAGAGTTGCATGATCTGACGTTTGCACGAAATGAATGAATGGCGAAAATGGTCTCGCAACAGACAGGCCTGGAAATCCCTTTTGTCCGGGAGGTTTCATCAATCACTTTGAAATTGCATCATTACATGTTTTACTACTAATCTGTTACACGCGTACAAAGAACAGTGCAGTGTGTCCAACCATTGCCACGTTCCAAGGCAGGACACCCATATCAAATGTATACAAAGGCAATTCTCTCCCATGTAAATGTACACAACTGTTTTTGTCCAAAGAAGGACAGTCCTGCTCAAAGCAGGACCGTGTTGGACAGTCTGACAGTGATACACCCAATACCCCAGGTTGGCAAGTGAAAATTATGAGCTCGAGAATGGAGCAAAGTCACACTCACAACATGAACCAGAGTCGGCAATTCTTGGGCAGTAGGTGGGGAGGGGGGGGGGGGGCTAGAAGTTTACCCATTTGATACTTTTAGCTCTCCTAATGGGGATGGCTCTTGCTGGGACCACATTAGAACTTGACCTACTTCAAGTAGCATTGTGTTGCTTGGACCGTTCATACAGCTCAATAATTGACAACAGAGTCAATGTAGTTCCCTTTCTTCGAAACATCAATTCAAGCCACGCACGCTCCAACTGTGACAGTAGCGAGCGCAGGACTGCAGGCAAGGACACGAGAGAGGGATCCATTGTAGATGGTGCGGCACGAAAATACTGCATCCATCTCCGCAGTATGATCTGGCCCCATGACCCCACGCTCACAGGGTAGCCTGTGGTATAGAATATCTGCTGTACTGTTTGTTGTGTTGAAGTCCCTTGCCGGAGGAGCTCACACAAGGTCAGATCCAGCGCGAGGATGGCGATTACGACGAAGAGCCCAACCACCCGGTCGCCATTTCGGGCAATTTCTACATGTCGGCCTTGGAGGTCAGCAATGCTCAGTTTGAAGAGTTCAACATCAGCCACAAGGTTAGATGTTTCACATGTTACGTGCAACTGTTTGTCTTCCATCATGTCTGCTCACTGCATCCGATTGCAAGTTGAGTCCGTGTATGCCTCATCAATGTACAAGATCAACTCTTGCTATCTGTTAACCTCTACGAGTGACCTGTTAACATTGTACTTTGATTGGGCAGGCCCGGCGGAACCGGTCCGGTTGGCCAGGCCATGGCCGGACCAACGTTTTGGCCACCAACGTGTGTTTACTGCTGAAGCTGAAGGGGTCATGTGTACACACTCTATATCATACACAAACTGTATGAAAGGCCAGGGTATGGCCGGACCCATCAAAAACTGCTTCCACCAGTCCTGTTGGGGGGGGGGGGGGGGCCTCATGTTGAAACTTGGCTCTGGGTTGTACACTGTGATCTGGGTGGCTTGGGTTTTCTAACGTTCTGTCTACACAGAATCCCCCCTCCTTGTTCCCTTCGATGGAGGTCTGCATTCTTCATAGCCCTTGGGGGTTGATATACTAGTCAGGGGCGTCGGAAGGTATTTTAGTGTGATACGGCCAGCCATCTGAAGTACAATTTACTCGTGGGGGAGGGATGGCCGAGCCGAAAATTTTGGAAATTTAGAGCCCAAATCAGTGCATTTTATTGATTCACGGGGTACTTGGGGCAAATAGTGGTACGGTCAATACCGTAGTGACCGTACCGTGTGCGACACCCCTGCTAGTAACTCAGGATTCCCCCTAAGGATTACATTATAGTATAGCCTTGAGCTGATCCGACACATGGTGAATGCATCCTGGATGTACTGGTATTGCACTGCGGTGCATTGAGAGTCCTCCATCAACAAGTACTCGTTCTGGCCAAGCTGATACGCCTGGACTGGGAACTGATCCGTTCACCTTTAATCCAGATTAATCGCTGAAGCAGTTAGGACCGGCAGGGCCCATGATAAAATTAAACCCGTGTCTTGAGTTTCGCTATGATTGTTATGTCATGATTATCTCTTAGGCCATGCGTGGACACATGAACTTCTCCTTCGACGACAACGAAGCGGCAATCTTCATCAGCTGGTACGAAGCGGTGGAGTTTTGCAAGTGGCTGTCTGAGGTAAAGTCATTTTGTTTTTGCTGTGCTAGATTATCTCTGAAATATTAGTAATTTTGGGCATTAGTGCCATCGAAAAATGTTGGTCTCTATTACAGCCTTGAAGTGACAGTGAAAACGGCCTCTCATTTTCTGTGTGTGTGTGTAATTATAATCGTCTATGCAGAAGGAGAACCGGACATATCGTCTACCGACCGAAGCCGAGTGGGAGTTTGCTGCCAGAGCAGGCACCACTACCTACTTCAACACGGGAGATACATTCCCGAAAGGTAACACCTGACTAGCTGTGATGGGGGCTGCATGTGGTTGCCGGCTCCATGGTTTTGATGATCATCGAGGACAGCAAAAGCATCTTGCTGCATGTCTTGGGTTAAACAAGCCTCTCTGCAACACAAACAAACATTTGATGGAATCAAACCTATGAAATGTCTGGGGGAGCTGTACGGAGTGAGCATGTACATGTACATGTAAAATGGACATTTTCTTCCTAATTGACCCACTGAAACAACCCTCATGTGCAACATGCCCATTTAGGAATGCATTGCATAGATCAGGGCCGTACATAGGTGCAGTGTCTGCATTCCCGGGAACTAGATACACTGGCAGTCGTACACACCATTGTTTTCGTATAGTTCTCTAGAAAACCAGTTATAGAATTTCTGGCATAATGCTGGGTTTAGCAGGAAAGAGTTGCACATGTGCTGGTGGTGTTAGTTGGTCACTATTGTCCTGGGAGTTACTAATGCATCAGTGGTGAGCGGCGGGGTGTGGGCTCTGCATTATAGGTTCTAGGTGATTTCAATGGAGTACAGTACAGTGTGTCCGAAGACAGTCTAGCAGGTGTGGAGAATGAGCACGGGAGGATTTCAGTGCATTGTAATTCAATGCTGCTTAGTCGGACATGGCACTTACTAGTACTCAATCAGTACAGATCTAGCTGCAGTGTAACATGGTCATTACAGTACTAGTGCCCTTACCAAGGTGTTCTGTTTTGGGCACTCACTGGCACTGGGTCCTCCATGAATCTAAGGTTTTCAGACAACCTCTTTCCTCAATATCGTCGCCTCTGTATCCTTGTCTCTGCATCCTTGTTTCTCAGTGTATCCTTGCCTCTGAATCCTTGCTGATACATCCCTGCCTTTGTATCCCTGCCTCTGCAACAGAGTATCAGAAATGTCAAGAGACTTCATGGTACCCAGCCGAAGCGCCTCCTTGCGGCTTCCCAAAGTAAGTCGTGCTGCACTCAGAACTTTCGATTGAGGGCCTTGATGCATGCTGCTGGTAGACGGAGCCACAAGAGCAGACACTCAGGAAGAAGATGTGTGTGCTTGTCAACTGTGTGTTCATGGTTCTGTGCGAGTACAGGCTGACAACGAACACAAGTGGACCCAATGCGTACGGACTACATGACATGCATGGCAATGTGGAGGAGTGGACCATGAGCTGGTGGGTGCATACAGTAGTTATGGCTGAGAGGGTTCGGTTTCATAAATCAAGATTTGTGGACCTGAAATCCACAAGAATTGGGATTATTATTTTCTTTACCTGCAGCACCAATATTGCGCATATGGAAATACAAGTAGTGTCTAAAATTGTACTATACTACAGTCTGGACTCTTGTACTATACTACAATCTGGACTTGGATGGAGAGCCAAGTAACCTGTCGTCCACATGTATCAAAGGAGGCGAAATCGCCTGTTTGTGGTGCGACGTTAAATAAACTTCTACAACAACAACAACAAGTAACTTGTAGTTCCTTGGTCCTTTTTCTTTGCTATAAATTATTATATTATTATATGCATGTTCGCGTTGATGTCAACAATGTTCACATCTTCGCATATGCCAGAACCAAATGATCAGCTGTATGATACTGTAGAGGCAAGAATGCATTTTAACGGTACAACACAACGGACAATATACTTTACTATGGTGATTGCCAGCATGGTTGGTGACTACCGAAACCTATGCGGGGAAATAATAGCCATGATGGAGTGGTAGATGCCAGCATACTGTGGCCTTCCTCAATATAGAGCACGGCAAAAGTCTCTCCACTCCTCGCGACTAGCTGCGGTAGATCGAAGGCTGTCTAGGTCCGCTGCTGTCTTTAATTTGCCCATGTTCTTCTTCTCCAAATCCCTGGACAGGGTTGTGACCAACGTTGTTCTTGGTCGCCCTCGGAACGACCCTTCTCGACATACAAAGTATGCCTTCATTGCCATCACTGCCGGGGTATCGCCAGGAAGCCGCAGGACATGGCCCATCAGTCTCCATCGGGCACGCTTGACCGTTGCGCTGATTGGTTCCGCACCACAGCGGGAGTATATGTTGATGTTGGAGATGCGCTGTGGCCAACGGACGCCAATCAGGGACCTCAGCTGCCTTCTGTGGAAGGAATCGAGCCTCTCCTCAGTTGCTGCTGTCAAGCCCCAAGTGCCACAGTTGTACAGCAAAATTGGGACAATCAGGGCATTGTACAGGCGGAGCCGAACCCGCTCGCTGACCTGTTTGCTGCGACGCCAGAGAGAGAACATGGACTGATATGCTGCTGATGCCAGCTGCTTTCTCCGGATCACGTCTTGTTCGTCGCCGATGAGAGAGCCCAGCTTTCTTGTCGAGCGCCAATCTTCTGCTATACGGTCCTTCTCCCGGCGAAATGTTGTCCTCTCTGTCTTGTCATGGTTGACGCGTAAATGCCATTCACCCAGTACCTCCGCTGCAATGGGTTCGATATCCGTCAGCCACTGCCTCGAACTACTTATGAAGTCGGTATCATCTGCGTAGATCACTTCTGGGGGTAGGTGTTGGTCCTGTAGTGGACGGGGAGGTGCTGCGGCTCTGAAATCACGAAGAGCTGACTCTAGATATACAACAAAGAGAACTGGTGATAGTGCATCACTTTGTGGTGTTCCCACGTTGGTGTTGAAGAGCGATGACATATCGGTGCCTAAGCGGATGCGTAGGGTAGTGTTACACAGAAGCACGCGGATGAGTCGGATGTTGTCTTCGCCGACAATGGGTTCCATTACTGTCAAAAGCTTGGCCCTGGAAACAGTGTCGAATGCCTTCGACATGTCTATCCCGAGCACTTCAATTGTTGTGCGGTGTTTCTGGGTTAATGCAGCGAGCCAGCGATGGGTCCACACAGCATCAGCGGTTGACCTTCCAGGTCGGAAACCACTGTGGGTAGCGCTCAAATAATCGTTGACAGCTGGCTGAATCCTCCGGAGAGCCAGCAGTGAAACAGCTTTCCGTACAGAGTCCAAAAGAACAATGGGCCTTAGATTGGCTGGTGGACCTCGCTTCTTATTTGGCTTTTGGAGAGGGATGACGATTCCTGATCCCAGATCAAGAGGGCTATGATGCATTGCTGGAACATACGATTAAGGCAATCAGTTAGGTTTCCGATTAACATGGGCCCTGCATACTTCAGCAGCTCCGCTGCTTCACCGTCTGGGCCTGACGATCTGTTGTTGTTCAGCCTGGTGATACTTTGCTGCAGCTCTTCAGTCGTAATAGGTCGTTGTAATGGCCTTGGCTCTCCGACAAAGGGTTCCAGGACTCCGCCACCTGGCACGCTGAATTGTTTACAAAAATGGCCTTTGATAATATCAACGGACTCCGCTGCATTGCCAACAATATGGCCATCGACATCCTCAACAACTGGTCTTGGTGCTTTCTTCCTTGTCAACAGTGCAACAGCCCTGTACATTTGGGCTCCATCCTTCTGCCTCTCCACTTCCTCTGCCATAGCATCTAGTCTCCGCTCAGCATTCTCCCTGCAGCGTCTTCGAATCTCATGCGATATACGGTTTCGCTCTTGCTTGAGCTGTGCGGCCTTGTCATTGCCGACGGTATTCATAATACGGAGACGCAAATCCTTCTGTGTTTTCGATAATGCATCAATCTCCGGGTCCAGTGTGCAACGCCTATTTCTCGGCTTGTTGGCATATCCCACTGCAGCAGCAGCAGCCTGCTTGATGGCACTCATGGCTTTGCTGAGGTATTCTTGGCTCGATTCATCCGCAGAAGGCAGTGGTAACATTCTCTCCACTTCCTTACGGTACTTCTGTTGAGCACCAGTGCTCTGCACTAGTTTTGGCACATTGAATTGTTTCTTAGTAGAGGAGACCGTTCGTGCTACATCATGCTTTGCCATTGTCCCGTAGAGTCTGTCGAGCTGGATGTCGGCCACAACCAAACGATGGTCTGTGGAAATGCAAATGCCTCCGTAGCTCCGGCTGTCCCTCAGCAGTCGCCTTTGCCCTTCTCTACACACGACATAATCAATCTGGTTGTAGATTGGTACAGTCTTTCCAGAACCCATGTCTCTCCGATATCCTATCCAAGTGGTCTTGTGGCGTGCAGCATGCTGGAAAGTCGTGTTGGTAAAGTATAGCTTGTTTGACTCGCAGAAGTCCACCCGAGTCTGTCCATTGATATTCCTTCGGCCACGTCCATGACTTCCAAGCGATGACTCTCCCGCACGTCGAGTTCCAACTTTGGCGTTGAAATCACCAATAACATAAAATAGTGTACAATTTCGAATTTCATCATAAGCTTTTTGGAGTGCTGAGTAAAACAAATCCAGCTCGTCCGCCGATTGAGCACACCTCGCAGCAGTTGGAGCATAAACGTTGATGATACCAATATCGGCTCTTCCGGCGTTCCGTCTGTTTCCGTCGAGCCTGCCGCCATGACCTGTTTTCAAAATCCCGCTGAACGTAACGACGGCCACACGGTCTGAAACCTGCCAAAGCCGGTTGATATTTCCTGTGAAGCGTGAGGAGATAGCGAAGCCCAAACCATAATGCCGACACACAGGAGGAAAGCTGATGAGACGATAGCCGTCGGCTTCAGTATCCAGGTCCTTCACCAACTTCGTTTCTTGAATACAACAAATATCAACTCTGTAGGAATTTAATCCGCGTTTCAAACATTCCTGCTTCACTTTCGACGACAACCCTCGAACGTTGAGCGTCGCTATCCTAAGTGGCGCTATCCTAAGTGGCGCTATCCTAAGTGGCGCTAAAGAACGCCTTGGTTTACTGTTACAGTCCATTATAGTTCCGATAAATACAAACCCCGCCGAAGAGAGAGAGAAAGCGTAACCTTCCTCAACCAAATGCTACAGCCAAATATTCTTTGAGGGAGCTTCTATGGTGGTGGGGCTGAGACGGTGCTTGATATACAAAGCACAACCACCGTGAAGCAACCATGAACACACTTTCTCTGCTGGAGCTTTAAGTTGTTAGTCTGAAAGCATTCATAGGGTCGGCCAGCTGCTAAAATGAACAGTCAATGCATGGGAGAACCATTCCAACTAAACCAGCTGAACTTTGGTGTAGAAGTTGGCGTCTTGCAACATGGAGTCCCCACCCCATGTTCTGCCGAATTGACTGACCCTTGGCCGACTTTCCATTGCCATCTGGAGCACGCGAGGAGCACGTCCAACCGTCCACTTGGAAAACCTGCAAGAAAGTATCACTCCCTGCTCAATACACAGTGCTGTTGGGATTCAGTTCGGCTCGAGGAGATCAATGAAAGTCATGTCCTCCAGGAGCACTACGTTTTATAGTGCTTCAGCACAGCTTAGGAGGCCTCAAGTAGCAGCCCAAGTCTATATAACCTATGGAGTGGTGGGAAACAAACACTAGTAAGAGCCATTGGATATTACTAATGCTATCACCTCCAACATCCAGTTGAGCGCCTGTGGCGACAAACAACAATGCGATGCTTAGAAGTGTCGACTTCTGCAGTAATAGATATCATGAATTATTACTGCCAAAGTCGCTACTTCTACACGAACTGTTAGTTTGTGGAAATGGTACGGTGCGAATCAAGGTGCTACTATGTACGTGTCAGGGGTGCCAGGTGCTGGATTTACCACCTATGAGCTAGGTACGATATTTCTGCCAGAAGTAGACCAGTCCTGCTTTTGTTGAAACCAGCCTCAACACCAGTGTCATATTCCAGCACAGCACGGTTGTACTGGTAAGTGAACATGCAGGACCGATTATAGAGCTCACTGAGATGTGGTACGTCCTGTACCTCAGTTCCCAATTATCGCAGCGCCTTGTTTTGCACCGTAACAGGAACATATGGAGCAACCGACAGCCTGGCCACCTTACTTCTTGTTGGCTAGCATGGAATAGGCTGCTTGTTAATTGTCATCAGCAGTGCATGAAAGCCAGCGTGTGGGTTGCCGTCATGGGAAAATTCCCAGACTGCATCGACTTAGCGATGCATTATGTGTCACGAGAAGAATTCAAGTAGGTGTACTCCTGCAGAACTGCAACCCACTTGTGTGCACTAAGCGATTTCCCCGGACTGCTTGTCTGCATCAACATAATGTAGTCCAGCTGAGGACTTCTCTGTGACCGGTATCCTTGCCAAAGCTGCAAACTTTGATTTCATGTGCTTCAAAGTACTCTTGTTACTTGATGATTGGCTTCACAAGAAAACGGAATGGAAACCCTATGGTCGGAATGCAATCCTAGAGGACCAAGTCAGCGGTTCTGACGTGATTGTTACATTGGTGTGATATCTGATTCCTGCCATCTCCAATAGGTATGGCACATATACAAGACTGAATGAAACGGATCCCATGGGGCCACCGTCGGGAGAATTCAAGGTAAGGGCACCTTGCCTGCAGCCTCCCATGCCGGTTCAGGATACCGATCAGTGGAGGTGCCGGAAACTGCCGCTGCACTGTGATTTGTGAATTGACCCGAGAGCTCTGCACGTGCACGGTGATGCCCTCTATCGCCACTCCCCCCCCCCCCCCACACACACACCCGAACACACATGTCATTTTGTTTGCATGGCTCTGTTCCGTCCCTGCAGGTATCGCGTGGTGGCAGCCACTCCACCATTCTCTACTACTTGAGAAGTGCCAACCGCATGGGAACGGTGCCGGAGGACAAGAGCTGGTGAGTACGTGCAGGGTGCAGAGTACAGGGTGCAAGGTGCAGGGTACATAGAGTACAGGGTGCAATGTGTGCAGGGTACAGGGTGCAAGGTGCAGGGTGCATAGAGTACAGGGTGAAATGTGTGCAGGGTGACAGGGTGTAGAGTACAGGGCACAGGGTACAGGGTGTAGCAGTTGCGGCGGGCCAGTGTGCCGGGGAGGATGGAATGATGCACTGGAGTCGAGTAAAAGTCTCAAAAATTCAAAATACTATTTTGGTGAACCAGTCTGAACAGAGGGCCTATTCGTGTTAGTTCGCGGCTCTATTGCATGCGATCAGTATCTTTACTCGGTGATGCCCGCAGTCACTGCTGTGCTGCAGAACCATAACAATGAGTGTAGCCATGGCAAGGGAGATCTTATTTGTGAATATTGTTATTGTTATTATTAGGAGCTTCTCCGCACAGACATCAATACACAGTAAATATACACAGCATGTAAAGCTATCGCATAACACATAGAAGGAAGGTATAGCGGACCAAACTCATTGGGCCTCCCTGCCATACTGTAGAACGGGTAATTTTAGCGACTATTAATTTTAGCGTTTTCCCATTGTCAACCGGTTAGCGACGTTTTATTTTAGCGATTTGCAGCGATTTCACTCACGGATCACCAGTGCACTACTAATGTCTCAACGGATTAGCGACTTGAAACTTTAGCGAAAATGAGTTGATCGCTAAATTCGCTAGGGTTTTTACGTCGCTAAAATTACCCGTTCTACAGTATCCAGTGTGGTTGTGCTCTAGTGGTCATGTATCGCACAGCCCTTGCCATCCTTTCCAGGGGCGTCGGAAGGTAATTTAGCGTGGTACGGTCAGCCATCTGAAGTACAATTTACTCGTGGGGGAGGGGTGGCTGAGCTGAAAAATTTGGAAATTTAGAGCCCAAATCAGTGCATTTTATTGATTCGTGGGGTATTTGGGGCAAATAGTGATACGGTCAATACCGTAGTGACCGTACCGTGTGCGACGCCCCTGCTTTCGCTGGTCCTGCCTGTGTGAACACTGGTTGTCTACAGGTACATAGGGATGCGGGTTGTCATGGAGGATCCTTCCACGTCGGTGCCGCCACGGACGTCAGCTCAATACCGCTTCATGGCGGAGGATTACGAGAAGCACCATCCAAGAAACCGACCGGGTAATCAGCAAGTAGCTACTGGTCTACCCTCAGGCGTTGGTAGACAACCCCGGGGGTTCACTTTGTTTGCCTGATAACGAGTAGTATTTACTATCCAGACTTGAATGTACGCGTTTCAGGTGTCATGGGATTTTTTGACCATTGTCTAGTACGGAGGTAAAACCCGATATCGTACTAACGAGGGTAGACATCTATACTGTTGTGTTTTACGGATTCTTCCTTATTATGCTGATGTTGTACCATAGTGCCAGTACGGGTGAGGATGCCTCCTGTGGTAACTCAGGCTTTGTTGTTGCGGTGAACGTTCCATGTGCTGGTTCAGTATCAGTTCGGTGCTGAATATCGGGACTGATTGGCATGTTAGGCTACAGCAGGGAAAGTGCTACCTCTGGTCAATTACTGTTCGCCTTTTCTTTCTCCCTTGACCAGTTACCAAAACATGTACATGCCTGTCCGTGCCTGTCCGTGAGTTCCAGCGCAGGTTACATGTTTAAACATGGTTTATGCAGATGATGTCTGGAAAAGGATGATAGTAAGCTAAGCCTATAATCATACTGCAACCTGCGGGGACCATTGAATGCATCAGGCGCGTGCTCGGCGATGGGCACGGGGGGCACGTGCACCCCCAAAAATTTTCAATCTGGGTAATTGCAATTGTAATGTATGCAAATATGCTCTAAAATTCAAGAAAGGTTGCAAACAAATTGCAGAAAATTGCCGGGGGGCTCCCCTCGGCTCCCGTGCACCCCCCTAGTTGGGGGGCCGAGCACGCCCCTGTGCATGATATCTACGGATGAGCAATCCCTCCTGGCCAAGCACAGGTGAAGTACAGTGAGACCTGTCGAACTAAGCCGATCGCTCAAGGGACCTACAACATGTGGTCGCTGTGTACAGGTGCCGGTCTCCTCATCCAGGGTCCGACATTTGACTGGAAATCGTATCCCTTGGTCCTGGTCGTAGTGCCGGTCCTCTAGGACAGGTGGTCTCCTTATCAGAGTGGTCTCCTTATCAGAGTGGTCTCCTTATCAGAGTGGTCTCCTTATCAGAGTGGTCTCCTTATCAGAGTGGTCTCCTTATCAGAGTGGTCTCCTTATCAGAGTGGTCTCCTTATCAGAGTGGTCTCCTTATCAGAGTGGTCTCCTTATCAGAGTGGTCTCCTTATCAGAGTGGTCTCCTTATCAGAGTGGTCTCCTTATCAGAGTGGTCTCCTTATCAGAGCGGTCTCCTTATCAGAGTGGTCTCCTTATCAGAGTGGTCTCCTTATCAGAGTGGTCTCCTTATCAGAGTGGTCTCCTTATCAGAGTGGTCTCCTTATCAGAGTGGTCTCCTTATCAGAGTGGTCTCCTTATCAGAGTGGTCTCCTTATCAGAGTGGTCTCCTTATCAGAGTGGTCTCCTTATCAGAGTGGTCTCCTTATCAGAGTGGTCTCCTTATCAGAGTGGTCTCCTTATCAGAGTGGTCTCCTTATCAGAGTGGTCTCCTTATCAGAGTGGTCTCCTTATCAGAGTGGTCTCCTTATCAGAGTGGTCTCCTTATCAGAGTGGTCTCCTTATCAGGGTGGTCTCCTTATCAGAGTGGTCTCCTTATCAGAGTGGTCTCCTTATCAGAGTGGTCTCCTTATCAGAGTGGTCTCCTTATCAGAGTGGTCTCCTTATCAGAGTGGTCTCCTTATCAGAGTGGTCTCCTTATCAGAGTGGTCTCCTTATCAGAGTGGTCTCCTTATCAGAGTGGTCTCCTTATCAGAGTGGTCTCCTTATCAGAGTGGTCTCCTTATCAGAGTGGTCTCCTTATCAGAGTGGTCTCCTTATCAGGGTGGTCTCCTTATCAGAGTGGTCTCCTTATCAGAGTGTCTCCTTATCAGGTGGTCTCCTTGACAGGTTTTACTGTAGAAGTAGTATATGTGTCGTCCATGTGATCTTTTGTGTTGAAGGTGATAATGTAAGCAGCAATGAAACAATAATATCGTGTGCTTTCAGGTGCAGATGTGAACACAGCTACGTCAGCTGAAGAATTGAAGCCCCAGGAGAATGCCATAAAGCAGGTACTTGATGACAAAATCCATGTCCGTACATGCCATTGATGTTTGCGTTTCTGTCGATACCCTCTATTCACGGCACCCGAGCGGTGGAGCTACCTAGTGTATGACTAGTGAATGATTCACACCCTGGGCCCTGGAGACCAGACATCATTTTGTTGAACTGAATGGAGCTCCTCACTTGTTTTTCTCCTCAATCCTGATATTAAAACTCCTGGCCAAAAAATTGATTGAGATAATTATTGTAATTTGCAGCGAAGAGACCACTTGATTTGAAGATGGTGTGTGTACGGTTTTCCATGAATGGCCCGGAGTGGTTTCTTTAAAAGAACTCTCAAACTCGACTGCAACGATTGATTAAAACAC